TTCTCAAAACCTTCGATAAGCTTCGAGGTAAGCCCGTAGATATATCTAATGACTAGAATGTTCGTATAGATCGTTTCTACGTTCATAAACGGTCGTTTGGTTGAGTTTTGTGTTTGACATGCTTAAAGAACCAAGAATCATAAACCATTAAATTGATGTTAAAACTATGAATTAATGATGCCAAAATGATCTATGAACCTTGGAGAACATCTCTATATAGTTTTGTTGAAGTTCGGTAACTAAAAACGGTATTCTCGAAATTGGACCCGAACGAAGAATATGATGAACAGTAACAAAAAACCAAGCTATTTGGATCGATCCAAATGGATGGATCGATCACCTGGGCATAATCTCTCTACATATGGATCGATCCAAAGAGCTGGATCGATCCCCCGAAGTTCTGATCCGAAAATTTGTCTAAAATTGCTATTTTTGAGTTCTAAAATCCTATTTTTGATACCAATGGATTATGACCATTATAAAAATGATTTACCATAATAACAATGATGTTTTTAACAACTAAAAAAATGTTATGTGTTGCATGACGGTAAGTTCGGGTGTTAATACTCGAGACTAGGCCGCTGTTTCTTATCAAATGTTATGTTGATTGATGATTATGATGAATGATTATTATGATGATTATGACTTGATGAAACTACTGATTAAAATGATTATTGAAGATTAAATTATGAATTGAAATGAATATGTTGATTATGAAATGATTTGAATTCTAAGGATATCTAGAAGAACTCTAAGATATACCTAGGTTGACGTTGGTTTCTAAGACTATCTAGAAGACCTCTAAGATGACTAAGAAATGGGCCTTGCGGGTATAATTATGAATATTCGGTGGCCTGGGTTAAAACGTACGTACGGGATCCATAACCAAACTAGAGGAACTCGTTTGGGGATGCCACCCAACCCGACAGTTAGTATCCTACTGTTCGGTTTTCTGGATTTGTACCTTAAGCGAAGGCTAGTTTAAGAGTTGGTAAATCAATCGGAATATACGTACCTTAAACTAATGACCTAGCTTAAGAGTTGGTTAGAAGTACCTTAAACTCTAATAAGTTTAAGAGTTGGATAAAAGTACATTAAAACTAGAATTAGTTTAAGAGTTGG